GTTGAATTGACCAGAGATGTAAATTTTAATTTACTTTTCAATTTGAATTTACTTCATTTTAATTTACATCACATTAAGGGGCCGTCCATATATTGCGTGACGCGAATTTCAGACCTTTTTGACCCCCTCCCCCCCCTGCGTGACAAACCATGACACGAGGCTAGACCCCCGTGACCACAAACCGTGACGTTAACACGGACCCCCTCCCCCCCCAGGCGCGTCACGCAATATATGGACGGCCCCTAATAAAAATTTGCATTTATGAATAGCGTTAGAATTTATGTTATATTTATGTTCCTAAGATATCAAATGAGGTTGTGAATTAGACCTTATGTGCAATGTACAGTGTGTTTTAAATAAAACTATAGTATCACTTTATTGTTTGAAACTGCGTATAATTTTTGATTATTTGCCACCTGCTACTTGAATTATTTAAAAAAAAATTATGATCGCCCTCCCCCAGGCAGATACCTGTATCCGCCCCTGACTGCAAGAAATTCACTCTTGTTTTTGTTTTTGCTAAAATGGTCGACCTGAAGCGATAAATTTCTTCTTAACATTTTTTTAAGAAAGAAGCTCTGCATTTTTATACCCTTGCAGAGGGTATTATAATTTTGTCCAAAAGTGTGCAACGCAGTGAAGGAGACATCTCCGACCCTAAATAGTATCACAGTATAAGGATATAAAAAGTATAAGGATCACCTCCTGAGTTGATATGAGCATGTCCGTCTATCTGTCCGACTGTCTGTTTCTACGCGAACTAGTCTCTCAGTTTTAAAGCTATCGACTTGAAACTTTGCACACATCCTTCTTTCTTTTGCACGCAGTATACAAGTCGGAACGACCGGGATCGGCCGACTATATCCTATAGCTGCCATATAACTGATTGAATAACTTTCGGTGTTAGAGAGTTCAGATTTCGTAAGAATGCTATTTTTTGCAAAATAATACGATATGCCAAATTTCATAACGATCGGCCGACCTCATAGGATATATCCTATAGCTGACATAAAACTGAACTGAAAGATATTTTATTGTAATGAATTGGTTTTATTATGATCTAATCATAAGGATCGGCCAACTATATCCGATGTTTGCGATTTATACCCGCTATATAGATATGCAAGGGTATATAAACTTTGGCTCCGCCCGAAGCTAGCTTTCCTTTCTTATTAAACTAACTATATTATTTATAGTTACTTTTTATTTATCGTCATTTAAAATCTCGATGACCAAACAATAATTACACAGTGCGACAAAAAAAGAAAAGTTAGAGGAACTTTTGAAGAGACCTAGTAGGAATTGTTCATTAGGTCGAGTATAGTATAAAACCATGTTTGAAATTTTTCATACACCCTCAAATCTTGATTTATTTCGAAAAAACGGTTTTTCGAAAGTGTTTTGCTCTTAAAAATTCCGGAACGCGTAATTTTAGGCCGATTTTCAATTTTTTTACGTTTTTCAATAGTTAAATGTTGTAGCTTTTGAAATAAAAATAGATCTTTAATTTATTTAAACAGAAAGGATACCAATTTTACAAAAGAAACTTACATTTTTGAATTTTTGTCGTGTTTTTCGAAATTTGACGCCATTTTTTCGGTACAACTTCCAAGAAATTGTATCATTTTTGACACATATCAATATTGTCTCGTAAATTTTGAATAAAACGAGACCAATTTCATTTCGAAATTATGAAAATTGTTGAAGGTATAACGCTTTTCCCAAAACAAGTCAGTCCAATCTTCATAGCTTTCCGGAGCAATATTGTGTCATTCCATTCCGCCCATTCCTTTCTTTCACACACTTTTACTCCGGAGCGCTAGTAAACTTGTTGCGCTTTTCCCAAAACAAGTCAGTCCAATCTTCATAGCTTTCCGGAGCAATATTGTGTCATTCCATTCCGCCCATTCCTTTCTTTCACACACTTTTACTCCGGAGCGCTAGTAAACTTGTTTTGGGAAAAGCGTTATAACTTCAACAATTTTCATAATTTCAAAATGAAATTGGAACCGTTTTTTCGAAATAAATCAAGATTTGAGGGTGTATGAAAAATTTCAAACATGGTTTTATACTATACTCGACCTAATGAACAATTCCTACTAGGTCTCTTCAAAAGTTCCAAATCACTGTCGCACTGTGTTATTCATGATTTGTACTTTGTCGCTCATATTTTTTCAAATCGTTAGAGCCAATTTTATAATATGAGTTTTTTTTGTTAAAATAAAAACAAAATTCTTTTCAGTGTATTTTTCGCCTTATCATTTAGATATTTAGTTTTGAAAGAAGCAAATTTGACAATTAATTAACGTTTTAAATGACGTAAAGAATGTTTTGGTAGTTTCACTGGTTCTTATGTTGTTACATTTTTGGGAATTCATTATGTTTTTATATCATCCCAGAAGGTGTTATAATTTTGGTCAAAAGTGTGCAATGCAGTGAAGGAGACATCTCCGACCCTATAAAATATATATATTCTTGATCAGGATCACCTCCTGAGTTAAGGTGAGTCTGTCTGTTTCTACGCAAACTAGTCTCTCAGTTTTAAAGCTATCGACTTGAAACTTTGCACACACCCTTTTTTCCTTTGCACGCAGTATATTAAAAAATGCAACCTAACCTCTTTTTTCATCTCTATCTAGGAGGGAAGCATGTTTTTGTTCTGTTTCTGTTATGTTGTTGAAATATTAATATCGAACATTCTTTGCAACTTTCCATTGTTGATGGTAAAGTTTGTAACGAATAAAGTGAAATAACATCCACGAAATGCTTCATAGCCAAGCCAACAGATATGAACAACCTAAAAGTTTTTAAAAAAAAATAAGTTCATGAGGTGCGATTTGAGTTTGGACTGTCACCGCTTCATGCGTATATTCGATTTTTTGAATATTTTCTTCACCTATCGTACAAATTGGACGAAAAAGTATGTCGAATTCGATCCTAAGAGGCGAAAGATAAGATTTCATTGAGAAAACAATTTATTCATAATGAGTTCAGGGCTAAAATGGGTCTAGTAGTGGATCAACCTAGAACTGGAGGTTTTATCTCCCCCCATCGGTTCATAAAGTTTGACTTCATGCTCCTGATATTATAAAACATTCTTTATTATCGATTGGAGAGCTTTCTGAAGAAGCCGCAGTTAATCAATCGGTTAATAAACCGCAATTAGTAGTTAATCAATTATTCCAATATTTTTTTATTTTAGTATTATATTTGTAAATAACTTACAGTAGAATTATTAGCCTGATCTGACCTAGCCTGATCTAGCCTGATTAGAAATGATTTTATGACTGCTCTCTCATGAAAGCGCCATCACTGATACAATCGTTCCTATGGAAGCTTTAGGATATAGTGGTACGATCTGGTAACTTTTTTTTATCATATGATTATAATATTTTTCTAGTTTTTTGGTGAACGTTTCATAGCGATAGCATCTATAAGTATTTATGGCCGCGGTTCTATACAAGCTCGACCACTGTGCTATGGTCATATTGCCGATTCAGCAGGAAAGCAGACTAAAAAGTCTAAAACTCCTGTAAAAATTACCCGATTTGGCTGCTTTTTGATTTGTAGGTGAAGATAAGCCATTGAAACAGTTTGGCATCAAAACATTTTTAAAAACATTATCGAACTGGCGCTAAAACCAGATTTCCTTTTTTTGGGGCGGAAGTGGACGTGGAAAAAAATTGACACAAACTTGATCTGAGCGGATATCATACGATTTCAATTTCAAAATCTAGGGGTAGGGGTCATGGCTATATTTTGAAACAAATTTGAACTGTGTGGGTGTTGTAGGAGTCTCCGTGCCAAATCCTACAGCTCTATCTCTTATAGTCTCGCGTCAAATACGTGCGTTTATACGGACGGACGGACATGGCTCGGGGGTTATCGAATCGGGTGTTGATGCTGATCACGAGTGTATATACTTTATGGGGTCGGAGATAAATCATTCTCTATGTTACATACATTTACATGACTCTAAACTCTACGAGTACCGGGTATAATAAGAAAGTTTACCCGTTCCCGTCTATGGCAGTTCCTATAGTTGTCCAATCATGTAACAGCGAGTAAAATGTATAGAAACATACGGACATTAAATTAATTAAAATTAGTTGTCAGGGCAGGGCTCTATAAGAAATTTCCCTATTCAAGCTCTGCCGCACACACAGCAGCCTAATTTTTGATATTTGTAATGCATTAAAATCATATCAATATAATGAGTGCAGACCAATACAAACATAGAGTTACAAACATTTGGATAAAATAAATTGGTAGGTACCAAGGGTGTAAAAGTAAATAACAAAAAGTTAATAGAAAAAAAAACTGTTTAAAAATATTGAATAAAAAATTTAAATGAAAACTATTGGAATTTATTTTTTCTACAAAGAAAGTCATTAACATGATCAGTTATGTGACACTAGCCCATAGAAAATAAGTAAAACATACATTTTAAATTATAGTAGCTTGCAATATGTAAGCTGCATTAGCAGTGTTATATCTTTTTGTGTACACAAGATTTATAAATACATATATTGCATACATACATATGCATGGGCCTTTGGTTATGTTTGATTACATACATACATCCATACTTTGCCGAAAACCGGTTTTTGAATATTTGTTTATTTTGACTAGTGCTTTGAAACAAAATTGACTTAATCGTTTAAAATATAGACCGATTATATTTAAAATTTTGGTTTTACAAAACGAACTGAAATATTTAATAGAAAAAGAAATACAAATACATTTTATGAAAGTATTATAAAATTGGTATTATCAAATGATTTTACTATCTACAGTAACCTTAAAGTTACAAGAAACCAGTTTGCCAACACAACTATTTGTTTTGGATAAGATTGTGTTGTAATTATGGATCCGTAATACTTACAAAGATCACATTGAAACATAAAAGTATGAATTTACACTCTAAACTATTAAGTTTTCAATATAAAAAATATAAAAATTTTATAATGGAAAAAACTGAAAAAAAAAATTTACCTTACCTTGCCCGCAATTGCCCATTTCTTGATGCGTTTAATGATTTTGTAGCTAACTTCAAATTTATTGGGGTACTATTAAGTTGACTAGCACTTGTACGTGGTAATCGTGGATTAGTATTTCCATTTCCTGTTATTGACCGGGTTGAAGCGCTACTTGCATATACCCTCGGTAGAATATTAGGATGTAATGTTTTTATGCCGAAAAATAATGTGATGATGATAGCCAATCGGCCAACGTTCGTAACGTAACATGTATATTTTAAAATTGACACCATGACTTTAAATGATTATTTTTCTATTAGACTATCAAATACACATTTTTATGGCATGCACTGTGTTTCAACTCTTTCTTGTTAAACTATTTAAGTGTTTGAGTTTTATTTACATATTTTGCAAAACGATTTCACAAATAGAAGAATGTGTATATTTCGGTATTACAAATCACAAAACATAAATATCGAATATTTATTATAGTTAAATTTAAGCAACCCACATCCGATCGAAACGTTAGGTGAAACTTTTCTGCTTATTTTATGGATATTGGTAACATTGCATCAACTAATCAACCACAAGCACAACTTTTACAGAAGAAACCCACCACAACGTTAGATATGGTGAAACTTGTTTAGTCTATTTGAAAGTAAGCGTTAATAGACAAATCTGAACACAAAAAAATTTGAATACAATCGTATTATTGATTAAAATAAAAAAAAAAGAAAGCTCTTGCCCTAGCTAATGCATCTATGTATATATGTATGTAAATTTGTTCTGTTTTATTTAAGAAAGAAAAAGGCAGAAACTATTTGTAGGGTCAGTTGTGATTATTTTATGCCGAGATTTTCGCTTTGCTGAAAAGTTCGACACTCGCGCAATTTAACGATTAGGGTAACACTTAAAAAATATAAAAAAAAAACTTTAAAGAAAACCCTTTCTTTACCCTTGAATTTGTCACTTTCTATTAAAATACCTTGGTATATACATATAATATATATTTAAAAGTGGTCTGATTCTTATGGGGTTAAAACAGTGGGGGGCCAAATCTCATTTTTCATAGCACGCGTGCTATGCCCGAGGAAAATCTGCCACAGCGCTGCCGGCACACTGACAGTGTGAGCACTCTCAAATTTTGTTAGAGGCTCTCTCATTTGCTCACATTTTGTTTCATTTGACAGCCAAAACTTAAAAAAAAACAAGAAAGGAAAGCTAACTTCGGGCGGAGCCGAAGTTGATATACCCTTGCAGTTAAAACCGGATATATATCGCAAAAATCGGATATAGTTTTCCGATCCATATGAGAATATCATAATATAACCAATTAATTACATAAAAAAATCTTTAAAAAAAAACCAAGCTTGTATCTGCAAAAATACCAAGTTTGGTATTTCTACCAAATACCATTTCCATTTTTATATGGCAGCTATAAGATATAGTCAACCGATCGTTATAAAATTTGGCATGTAGTCTTATTATTTTGCAAAAAACAGATTGCGTAGAAACAGATAGACGGACAGACAGACGGACAGACATGCTTATATCAACTCAGGAGGTGTTCCTGATCAATAATATATATACTTTATTGGATCTAAGATGTCTCTTTCACTGCGTTTCACACTTTTGACCAAAATTATAATACCCTCTGCAAGGTATAATAAGAAAGGAAAGCTAACTTCGGGAGGAGACGAATTTGATATACCCTTGCAGTTAAAACCGGATATATATCGCAAAAATCGGATATAGTTGGCCGATCTTTATGAGAATGTTATAATAAAACCAATTAATTACAATAAAAAATCAAAAAAAAGTCCCAAACTTCTATCTTCAAAAATACCAAAGTTGATATTTCTACCAAATACCATTTCCGATAATTCAGTTATATGGCAGCTAGAAGATATATATATATATATATATATAGACATATCGTTACGGCCGATCGTAATGAAATTTGGTAGGTCGGATTATTTAGGTCGGATATTTTTTGGGCCAAAAATGGCTCTCATGAAAAATCTAAACTTTTTTACTCTAAAAACACCAAAGTTATACCATTTCCGGTCAATCAGTTATATGGCAGCTATAGGATATAGTCGGCCGATACCGGTCGTTCCGACTTATATACTGCGTGCAAAAGAAAGAAAGATGTGTGCAAAGTTTCAACAGATAGACGGACAGACGGAAATGCTCATGTCCACTCAGGAGGTGATGATGATGAAGAATATATATACTATATAGGTTCGGAGATGTCTCCTCCACTGCGTTGCACACTTTTGGGCAAAATTATAGTACCCTCTTTATATTAAATTATAAAATTATATATTATAATATATTCTTTTCTTTTTCACGCAGTATATATGTAAGTCGGAACGGCCGGGATCGGCTGACTATATCCTATAGCTGCCATATAACGATCGGAAGTGACCCAACTTTTGACCCTTGACGGACCCGAAGCTATAGTTTTCTGCAGTCAGCTGAGAATCAAGACGCCGCGATTCTCTGCTAGAGCACACCATAAAATTTGTTTTCTCCATATTCACTACCTGTCCTACTTTTGCAGATTCCTTTTCAATAGCCTCGAAGGCTCCTGTGACATCACGCTTGGTGCGTCCAATGATATCAATATCATCAGCGTAAGGAGCTGGACACATCTGTTGGTTAATATCGTGCCCCTCCGATGTACACCAGCCTTTCTTATAATACTGTCTGTCGGGTCAAGCAGCAAGAAACTAATTTAAACACAACAATTAATAAGTAACTGATGTTTTGTTGGTCGCAAGCCGACTCTCTTTCGGCCGCTCGGCTTCGCTACTTCGGCGCTTATAGTTAGCGAGCATCCGTTCAGCCTATTCTGCAAGGTTGGCGCCACTCTCATTCGTCTTCTTACTGCGCTCGCATCCTAAATTGGATTTGAAATATTGTACATAAATCCTAATTTCATATGCGGCCTGAATAAAGTTTTATAACGTTGAAATTAATTAAATTCTGATTTTTTATTTACGGCATCGAAAACTCTCGATGACCAAAGATTGGTGAACCCCGACGTGATCGTTAATATACACATAAACAAATTGCTAAAACAAAAACAAAACAATTTTGTAAACAGTGTTATGTGAAATTATCATTATCGAATTATCAAACGTCTCTAATAAGTTTATTTACAATAATAAACAAATTATAATATATTATTATATTATACATTCATACAGGCATAAACATAACGTTAGTTCACAAGCACACATACATATTTACGATCCACAACGCAAGTGCATTCGCCCGCGCATAGACTTCATACAAACATACGATCCACAACGCAAGTGCATTCGCTCGCACATAGCTTCATATATATATACATTCCACAATTCCGCTACGGTTCTGAGCGCACAGTGGGACAGATCGTGTTCGCCGCGAGCAAATAAAATTTATTTCGGTTGTTCGGAACTCAATATAATAAATCATGAACTCCAGCGGCGCCGTCACAGGAGCACCCACTCCAACCCGGAGTGCAATTTTAAAGTGCAAGACCCTGGGTATTTTCCAGGACTTACAGAGGATCCAAGGAGCTCTTCAGCCTATTTCCAAGGTGGACGATGCCATGCTACACGTGCGACATGGTCAGATAGCCACCATGTTCAGCGACTTCAAGGCCATCCACGGGGAGCTTGAGGATTTGGACATTTTGCAGATCAGCAGTGACCTTCGATGGACTGTTTCGGAGCTCGTAGCGACGATGCAGGCGGAAATTGAGCACGAGACGACCCTTCGCTCATCTCGAATTGCTGCCCACTCCACCCTTTCCAACGGAATGTCCACCATGCAGGCTGACCCAGGTTTAGGTCAAAGTTTTCAAGTGCTGCCTCCTTTGCCGCTCCCTACGTTCAGCGGTGGATACTCGGAATGGGCTGAATTTTACTCGATCTTCTCTACAATCGTCGGCAGCAATCCTCGTATTAGTAAGGTGGAAAAGTTGCAAAGTTACTAATTCGCTTCCCTCTACCTGTGCGCTATGCGGGGGATGGTCCCATATAATGTCTGCCCCCGATTTCTATCAATGCCCCCTGAGATTCGCCTTGGTGAGGCCAGGCGACTCGGTCTTTGTCGGAAGTGTCTGCAAATGGGCCATCACATGCGTGAGTGCCTCGCTGCTAGTTGTCGCAGTTGTGGAAGGAGGCATCACAGCCTGCGGCATTTCCTGGAGCCGCAGGCATCTAGCGGCCAGCCTTTGGTTGGTCCTCCCACGTCAGCCATAGCCGAGGTCGCCGATCCTGTAGCCTCTTCGCCTGTTCCGAGTACTCGGCCCTGGTTAACGCCGTCATCGCCGTCAATATCACGGACCTGCAGCCTAGCTTCAGTTTGGATGTCTCCAGTTGGAATATTCCTGGCAATCTTTCTTTGGCTGATCCTCATCCGCATCGACCTTCTTATCGGAGCAGGTCTGTTTTATGAGCTGTTGTGTGTTGGGCAAATTAAGCTCTCAGCCGGCCTGCCATTGCTGCAGAAAACTCGACTTGGATGGGTCGTGTGTGGAGGCGGTTTACATGTACAGAGAAGATCACTCGTTTCCACTGCCCACAAGGATGTTCCGGAGAGCGCAACAATGCTGGATGATCAGCTGGATTCTCTGCTCCGCCGGTTTTGGGAAATCGAAGACTGCTCCGAGCCTATTGTGAAGCGGACGAAGGAAAAGCTAGATTGCGATGCGCATTTCGTGCAACATGTTGCTCGGCTGGATTCCGGCGCTTACGCTGTGAGGCTTCCGTTAAAGTGCGGTTCAAAGTTGCTGGGAGAGTCTTACCCCCAAGCCGTTCGACGATTTCTTTCCTTCGAAAGGAAGCTCTGTCGCCGTCCTCAATTAAAGGAGCAATATGCTGCCTTCATAAAGGAGTATTTGGAGTTGGGTCACATGTCTCCAGTCCCTGCTGATGCGAGCGTCACTGGTCAATACTTTCTTCCGCACCATTGTGTTTTAAAGGAGGACAGTTCAACAACCAAGCTTAAGGTTTTTTTTATGGATCTGCTGTCACCACTTTTGGAAATTGATTGAATGACGTGTTGATGTCTGACCCAGTTATTCAGCCAAAGTAACTGCATATTCTGTTAAGGTTTCGATGCCATCGGGTGGCCATTACTGGAGATATTTGTAAACTGTATCGTTGCGTCAGGGTTTTTCCTGAGGACAGCTATCTTCAGTAACTGCTCCGAGCCTTGGCGGGATTCCACCCAGGATGAGTTACAGGTTTTAAAGCTGGAAACGGTCACCTATGGAACGAAGCCTGCCTCATTTTTAGCAGTTCGGACAATGCATCAGTTGGCAGATGATGAGCAATTAATGTTTCCAAAGGGGGCCGAAATTCTACTTCGCGACTTTTATGTGGATGATCTGCTTTCCGGAGGCGACTCTATAGATGAAGCTATTAGCATAATGCAGCAAAAATCCGCGATCCTTGCCAAAGGCCATTTTCGGTTAAGGAAGTGGTGCTCCAATGTTGCTGACGTGCTGGATAAGGTGCCTGAAGAAGATCGGGAGTCTTTCCTAAGGTTTGATGATGGTAGCAACTTCACAAGGACACTGGGTCTTGCTTGGGATC